CGGCTGTAAGCCTTCTTAAAACTCTTTAGTTTGACATCCACATGGCAATTTTGCATTTATTTTATCAATTTCACTGAGTTAAAATTTTCAAATAGGTTCCAACCCTCGTCAAAAATATTTCCAGCAGTTATCTTCCTTGAACCTCTTTAATTCGATACCCATATTGCAATATTTCATTTATTTTATCGATGTACTTTAGTTAAATTTTCAATCAAGTGGCAACCCTCTTCAAGCATATTTTTGGCTGTAAGCCTTCTTAAAACTCTTTAGTTTGACACCCACATGGCAATATTTCATTTATTTTATCAATTTGACTGAGTTAAAATTTTCAAATAGGTGGCAACCCCCGTCAAAAATATTTCCAGCAGCTATCTTTCTTAAACCTCTTTAATTTGATACCCATATTGCAATAATTTATTAATTTTATCAATATATTTGGGTTTAAAAATTTTCAAAGAGGTGGCAATTTGTTGCGATATCATTGGTTCTGGTATTATACCGAACAATACAAGAAAAAAATTATTCAAATCGGCTCAGCCGTTCTCGAGTTTTGACGACCGTGACATACGAACACAACATTTTTATTAATAGAGATAAATACTTCGTAAGACCCAAATGATTTAACGTTTTATGGAAAAAATTACCGAACTCGACTTACGTTGCTCTTTCAAATGTCCACAGATTAACTTTTTCGTGAAAATACACAAACCTACTGCCGTTCTGGCCCCACCAGCCGTACATATTTAGCCACATAAATCTATTCTCTTTAGCTAGAAATATTTAATGATTATGATTTTCAATCAAACATTTGCACTTTTTCAAATCCATGAACATATTCACACATACATACATACGCACTAAAACTCACTCTCTTTCTCTGTTATGAAAGTGAAACGAAGTGGACGTGAAGCTAACACGCGCCTCCACCTAAACAGAACAATAAGCAAACAAAATGAAAATTATTAAAAGCGAAAACGAGATTGTCTTTCATTCGCCAAAGAAGAAGGCAGACAAGATTAAGCACAATGCCAATGCGAAGCAGTGAAGGAAAAATCAATACGAACAGCTGACAAATGAGCAGCCAACAATTCGCCTGGCGCTCAATGAGCCAAACCGATTCTTTTTATTTCATATTTTGTTTTTCTTTTGATTTGCTGTGCGTTGACATTTCAACTGCGATGCCAAAACAAACAGCACAAAAGAGAAACCACAAAAACACCGTCCCACACTACCTGTACAGCTGAGATGACGTTAGAAATTGTGGTCGGAAATTAAAGGGGATGAACCCAAAGAGTTCAAAAACAAAAACAAAAAACGTTAGCATACTCACGAAAATTGGCTCAAAGCAATTATGTACATATTTATGTATGTATCTATATGAAAATGAAATGGGCCAACAAAATGCCCGAACTAACGGTATGCGCTCTCGAAAATCTCTACCGAAGCGCATACGAAATTGGCTAAACGATTGCTCTACTAAGCAGCCACATACATATGTAGCCTCGTCGGCACTTTTCCACAGCAGCCCCAACAATTTTCCTCACTTTCTACAAATTTTCATTATTCAGTTTTTCTTGGCTACTCAGTGGTAACGGTTCGGTAACGGGAAAATCTTTTTTGGGAAAAACAGCAACGTTAAACGACCAACTGTGGCCCGGTGCGCGATTAATAGACAATTGCAACAACAACATCGCCAACGACGACGAACCGCCCCATGCAACAACAACAGCAACAACAACCCACAGATTAGTTTAAACGTAACGAACGACAAACACACGCACACATACTCGCCCATGCATACGAATACGAATATATCAGCGCGCACACAAACGTACGCCATGTTTTATATATAGAAAATTTACGCACAGCTGAAAAATTTCCTTTTGGTGAAACAGTGAATTTCGGTGCGGTTTTTCATAAGCTCCATACGTGTGAACGAGAATTTTCATTGTGAATTTTTGTTTAGAGTAGAAAATCTAATGAATTAATGTAATTGTGCAATAGCAAAGAAAATTGCAGCGATAAATCCTATAGTCAAGTGTGTAGTGTTCAAAAAATCTGGGTATGTCAAAGTTTAAATGTAGCTGCTACTTGAATCGCTCGTTCGTCTCGTCAAAACTTCCATTTTCGGGACTCCACCCAGTTTTGTGGTCACCGAAATATTATACAAAATAGGAATACGAATAGGAGGAAGAAGAAGCAGCAGTTGCAGTGGCAGTGGCAGCATCAGCAAGGCGTCTAGCCAAAACCCAAAGTGGCTAATGAGGCCATAAGTTCTATGTACAAACATAAATATTATTGCATCAGTGCGTGTCTCTGTGTATACCTATGTATGTGCCAGCTAAGCAGATAATAAGATTACATATAGACAAAAGTGATAATATACAAATAAAGAAAACCTTTACAGAAGCTGGTAAATACATATTCTTTACTCGTTAAGTATTTGTGTTCAGAAAGTGCATAAGAGTGGTGTCGTGTATTTGAACTTGTTTAGCAGCGCCGTCCGCGACGCCACGCAGCGCCCGCAATAGCTGGGAAAATGCTAGAAAAATGCCCAAGATGCTCATATGCGACAAGTTGATGACACATTTTACTGTCATTGTGACCGCATTCCTGCTACTCCATTGCATTGGTTTTTCACCGTTTACACCGCAAACGTTGCGCGGCGTTGCGGCCACTCCCGAGGATGAAGCGTAAGTTGGCCATGGATATGTATCTACATGTGTAGGTTAGGGCGGGTCAATTTTTTTTTTTTTTTTTACTATGCGCGTATAGCATTTGAGGATTCTACGTGAAATTCTGAGCACATTTGCTGAAGAAACCAAGAGTCTAAAATAAATTTAGAGTTCGCCAAATTGCGAAAATAGGGTTCGATGAAAATGTGAAAATTTTCATTGTTGCGCCCTCTGCTGGATATGATTAGATTTTTAAGAAAAAGATGAGTGCAGAAATAGATTTTCGTGTACCAAAAAACCCGTTATAGCATGTTTTTATACAAAATTTAAGCACTTCTTTACGACACTACAGCAAAAGCTAAGAAACCTACTTTCGCAATTTGGCAAACTCCAAATTGATTTTAGACCCATAGTTTCTTCCGCAAATTTCTTTAGAATTACACTTAGAACCCTTCTGTGCATAGTCAAAAGAAAAAACTCCCTTACAAATTGACTCGCCCTAATATAGGTATATATACATTTACACGTCATATAGGGCTTTAGGCTATGCAGTTGGGGCATATGTTTACATACATACAAGCAAAACATCATTCCTAGTCACAGTTCTCTAAAGATGCAGCTAGGATCCAGAAATATAGTAAAACCGGAGTCTTCCGCCTTTCGTAAACGTAAAATTTCGGTTAAAATATGTTACTTCAAAGAGATAAATTTTAAATCAAATTTTTTTAAAAGTTTTTAATTTTTTTATTTTAATCCAAATCCCCTTTTAGGCTTGCACAATATTATTTATAGAATAAGAAATCAAAACAATGGATATGTATGTAGATACTATGAATGTTTATAGTCCTTTTCATAACTTGACGACACTCACATATTGACAAGATTTGACCATTTGTCTTAATATTTTTTTTAATTTTAAATATTTGTTTATAAAAATTTTGTATATTACTTAACAAAAACCATATAAATCAAAGTTTGGGTATTTGTGCAGCCTTGAAAATAATCGACAAACTTTAGTAAAAATTTCGAACTTTTGATTTAATTTTTTTTTTAATATTTTGAGAATGCAGTTCAACTTCACCATAACAAAGTGCAAATTTAAAGTACCTCGGAACTGCATTGATTTTGGAATATTTTTTTGTTGACGGTGTCAGTAATTGTCTTTCAAACGAATGATTTTCGACGATTTTTTTAAATGAGAAATGGAGCAACATCTTCAACAAAAAAAATTCCCAAAATCAATGGTAGTTCCGAGCTACTTTAAATTTGCACTTTGTTATGCTAAAATTGAACGGCTAAGCAAAACTGTATACTTAATATATTTCTAAAAAATCGAAAGAAAAGCTAGAAATTTTTGAGAGAGTTTGTCGATTATTAAAATAATAATTAATAATTAATTAATTAAATAATTAAAATTAAAAAATATTAAGATAACTGTTGAAATCTTGTCATTATGTGAGTGGTAATATTTATACCGCTATTGGACAACATTTTCCTCGATCTCCGAGAAAGATTGCCGAAAGAGACACTAACACAAAAAAATGGCGAATATACCTAATACGCTATATGAAAAAAATAATTTAAATTTCGCGGTGTTACACTGATCATGAACTTTTGAAGTGGCCTAGTACAGGTCGAGCAAGTCACGAAACTGCGTTTAAAATCTTTGTAACGCCCTCAAATTCTCGACTTATTAAAAAAAAAACAATTTTTATATGACTGCCCGCACTGAACCATTTTTAGCTCTGTTATTTTTTACCCAATTTTAAGTTTATATTTGACTTTAGAAAGAAGAATATTTGTGCTATTTAAGGAAATAATAAGTTTTGTGAGTGTGTTTTGTAAATTTGTGGACAATTTTTGGAATAAGTCTGAAGTTAACACATATTTTTTTATTTTTCCCACTCGAAATAATTTTTCCTCCACGGCTATGGAAAGACTAAGTAAGAAGGGGACTTGGCTGCACTTAGCTCAGAAGAAAAATGACTGCCTGCTTTATTGGACTCGACCAAAATCGGCTAGACTGATACACCGCCAAACAGAAGAAGATGAAGGCAAGATTGAAGTAGAGGTATGCACTGCGACCAAGCGATCTATTGTACCCTCCTAAGAAGAAGAAGGCAAAGATTGCACAAACAGAGTCTCGATATGCATTTCGGCTAATAAAAAATTCGAAACGTAGTGACATTCCGTTGTAGTTTTTGTTGTGGCGAGTAGGGGTTTTTGGACCATGCGGTATCACAATGGCCTCTGATTGGGCCTAAGTGTGCTGGCGCCCTCTGGGCCTGACAGCCACTTCAACCTAACCTAACCTAACCTTTGTTGTGGCGACTATTGTTCCCATCCTAGTTCAGTTAAACGTCACTCGTTGGTCATCAAGCTTCACTCAGAACCAATAGGCTAAGAAAAACGTTCTTCTTTGAACGACGTCCACCGTGAACCTTTAAAGCACTATGATGTGAAGGCATGGACTTGGATGAACACTTTAATGAGGAAGGTGGCACTATGCGACGTCTACTACAGCTGACATGTGAAGGAGCTAAATTCGATTTCGGATTTGTGACGACCTAGCTAAAAAGTGATACATATAGCAATTTTGCGGCTGAAAAACAACCAAGCTGCAGGATCTGAAGGTCTGCCAGCTAAGTTATTTCAGGACGGAAGCGAGGAGTTACCGACTAGAATGTAAATGTGCTTTGCGCAATTTACAAAAAACAAGTGCCAGTAATCGCTATGCGCACAGCTCAATACAGTTGCAGGTCTACGGTCTTTTAAGGGTTAACCCCCCCCCCTCGAACTGAGTGATCGTGACGATCAAATAGGCTAGCTAAAATGACATAATCTTTTAGATATGACCTACGCAATAACGTGACATTTTCAAATTTATTTAAGGATCATTAATCGGATTCGATAATAAAATTTGAAATGTCGTTAGATTGGTTAGGCGAACTACCTGCAATGAACCGCTTTGGTACCATTTTCTAAGATACAGCGGATGAGTAAGGATACGTATTCACAGGAAGCAGGCCGTTGCGAATAATTGTAGAATCCCCTAAACAATTGGGAGAATGGACAATATTTACACTTAATAGTTTTTATGTATAACCTTTTGAGTACTGAGAGTGGAAAGCAGGAAACAAAAAAAATTAACCAAAATTCTCATTTAATGATCGGCCCATAATTCATGCGAATTGAAGCCGTTATAGTTGCCCAATCTTCCCCATATTTTTGATATTTATGTTTGTCTAATGAAAGAGAGAGTACAAGGTAAATATCATCGAAATCGGGCGAAATTTAATGTTTCCGCGTACAAGGGTGGAGGGCGTGGCAATAAGGCCCAGCTTTGCCACATTTCAAAATTTCCTATTACTAAGATAAATTAATTTAGATGTCAAGTTTCAGCGAAATTGTCCCACGGTAACTATTCTTCTTTCCACCTGCCACCATATAGTCGAAACACTGTGCGGCGGTTTCTTAAAAGTGTATTATCTTAATAACTGTCTGGACGCCAACTTTACACAACAATTCTCTATTGTTTTGTCGAATGTAAACGCAAGGTTAGTATCTTTATAACACGATTCGATACTCACGAGGTTTGTTTTTTTCTTTTATGAAAATCTACATTGTAAATATTCGCTAGAAATATTTCTTCACAAATCACTTCTCGCTCTCCCTGCCACTTGCACGCGCACAATATGTATGTACATATGTATGTACGTACATACATATCTACTATGTATTAATTGGCATGCTTTTATGCTAAGTAATTCGCTATTAATTGCACGTTTTCATTTCCACTGCATAGTGGTTTTCTTGCTAGCCTCTATAGCCTCCTTTTTCTACTTGTAAGTTGTCATTTCTTTTCAAGCAGGCTACTTATGTTTGTACAAATGTGAAATATGTGGGTGTGTATAATTATAAGAGCTTCTTTTTGTTTTTAATTTTCCAATTTCGCTAGAAATAGCCTGTATAGAAAAATAGTGTTGCCAGAAGTCGAATAATACTTGCGTGTCTTGATAAATACATATAGCAGAAGGAAAAGAAGGTGGTTGATATCTATTTTATGTTGATGAGATGGAGGAAATGTAGGGGGCGACGTTGGGGACTCCTACAAGTCGCATGCTAAATATGCTGATTAGCAGCTAAGCGTTTGGGTTAAGCCGTTTACAATGTGGCCAATATTATTATGCGCAGAGACGATGATGATGATGACAGTAATGGGTTTGGCAGTATTGACGACGATTATGTTCAATACATATGTATTCTGTGGGGTGACAAATTGTATAATGAACTTTTATTCTTAACTTTAGGGTGGGTGGCTTATTTTTAAAATAAAGGTTTTGAAAATTATGCGGTGAAAAATTTGAGTGGCTTCAGAATTTAAAGTTCTTCCCCAGTAGGAGATGGTTTAGTTCTCTTTTTTCTTACTTCAATTAAAATAATTAATTGAAATTAAAAAAATAACAATATAAATCGTCAAAACTTGTCAATATGTGAGTGTCGTAAAGTTATGCTAAGTACTATGCATACTTCAATTTTAAGGCAGGGACGTATAGAAAGTTACTTCAAAGAAGAAAGTCGGTATAGAATTATTCTTACATATACTATTTCTGTCTAATTCGACACTAAATATTCCTTTAAGAAAATTCTGCTCCTAGCAGCTACAGACTGCTCAAATGCGTAGTTCCCCTCTCTAATTTAATCAACCCTAGTAATATAATCGTCTACATATTTATTCAAATATATAGATGTATACACACGCGTATGCAACTATGTGGCATTAAGTGGTATTAAGGCAAATTTTATTACTCTGAGAGTCTCATTAAATTAACATAACGCTGTAAAGCTATGTACATATGTATGTATGTATGTATGCAACTATGCTTGTATCGATATACGTAAGCTGTAAAAATGGTACTAAAATTTTTATGGTGAAAGTTTGCATTGCGCATTTGCATAGAAAATTGAAGTCTGTATATAAGTAACTATACATATAGGCATATATATATTTTAGTTAT